ATGCAAAAAATGGCACCCTGCCGAGAACCGATCCTACGACGTCTCGCCTAGTAAACCCGCTCGCTATCCGTTGCGCTCTACTGCCACGTTTCAATTTGACTCCATTCTTGTATATAAAGACGCTTCCACGTTTCCTCGCGATAGCATGTGAAACAACCACGCGGGATAAAACCCTCCATAACTCCGTTCAGAGAATCGTTCCGCAAATTCTGAAGGTAGATTTGAGTTCACCGTCCCAAGACGCGTACAACGGTGTGCACCTCATTGGAAATGGCCGGGCTGACCTGTTGACCTTTCCTGGTTAGTTGAACTCTCTTTTAAAAAATAATGTTATATAATATTCTCATTGAATTCCCACCGTCAATTCAAACTGCGGTGCTCAGACTTCGCGATGACGCGCTGTAGCGCGCTCCAAAGCTATAGGCGCGAACGCAGCTGCAGGCGGCCAGCGCCGATCGATACCACTCTGCGCGGCTAGACAATATCTACCATCCCATGCGCCGCCGATCGACTGCCGCCTGCGTTCGCATTCTCCCCTCCCGGCCCCCCGTCGAACACATTAGTGTGCGTATCATCACTGAACCATATTGGTAAGCAGCGTTCAGACTTTGTGAAGACGCGCTGTTGCGATCGTAGCGCGTTGACGGGGGTTACAGCGCGTTGCAGCGCGTCATCATGAAGTCTGAACACTACCTACCAAGGAGGTACAGCGATGTACAGCGAGCATACATACAGTGAAGTATTGGGTGGGTCGAGAGGGGGCATTGCTTGCTCTGCGAAACTAGGTCGCAGCGACTTTGGTTGCCTACGGCCTGCTGGGAAGGAGCCTTGGAAGGGGACGCACACAGACAAGCATTCGCACGTCCTCACCAATGCCCTGAACTAAGCGCCAGTCAAAGGAGACCATACGATGAGCAAATCGCTATCAACATACCGTTTACGCGTCGTTAGCACGGAAGAATCCACCGAATCCTCGGCGACTACGTTTCGGAATACTCGATTCTGCTTCCTCCTCACTTATTTCACGAATCACAGGACCAGTATGACCACCATTGGATCGGTGCGCGCGAGCTGGACGCCTCATATTCCTGAAAGATATGAAACTCATGCTGGACAGTACAATTGTTTGAAAGCCGCTGCACCATTTCACTAGTACAACACCGGATAGTATCATAGGGTTTCCTGAGTTTCATTGGGTAGTGGCTTCTTCGTGTCTCCTTTTCGAATGATACTCTTCAAACTCATACTTAGACATCAGTTCTAGCTAAAGTGACCGACACTATTGGAAATACACAGCCTTTAACAACTGACCGATTACAGGCAAGTGGGTGTTATGGTCCAGGCGGACGGGTTCTTCCCGGGAACCACGTGGATCACTGCAAATGCTATAAGATGGACTCGGAAGGGGAAGGCGTGTAAGGCATATGGGAGGGGGACTCGGAAGGGGAGGGACTCACCTGATCCTCATCTGACTTGGAGGGTATCAGACGACATCACCCTTACCCTTCCCATCACCGATCTAGTTGCTTCATTTCTGCGAGAGTGAGCAGCTAGATAGGTGAGTCCCTCCCATATGCCTTACGCCTTCCCCCTTCCGAGTCCATCTTACAGCATTTGCAGTGATCCACGTGGTTCCCGGGAAGAACCCGTCCGCCTGGACCATAACACCCACTTGCCTGTAATCGGTCAGTTGTTAAAGGCTGTGTATTTCCAATAGTGTCGGTCACTTTAGCTAGAACTGATGTTTAAGTATGAGTTTGATAGATTTATTGTGTATGTATATTATAGACCTGAAGAAGGGCTTATGGCCCGAAACGTCGTCAAATAAAGATTTTGAAGAGTTTCATTTGAAAAGAAGACACGAAGAAGCTACTACAACACCGAAAACTCAAAAAAATTCTTGCTGGAACTTAGCACGCAGAGGTTATCTGCTGCCTTGATTACAAATGTGATATTAATTCCTGGCGCTGGCGCCAGTTTGGCGCCAACACCTCTCATCAGAATCGATGAAAACTCGTAGCGGGATCATTAAACATCCTGTTCACGAATTAACATTCATTCTCGGTGCCGACCCCAATGTAAAGCACTCTGATCACTTGAGCTCTGCTAAGGTTGAGCCCGGTAAGGAAATCACCCCCTCCCACGCTCCTTAGCCTTGGCAGAGCTTAAGCTGCGCTAATGTCGGAAAATGAATGCCATATTCACAATCAGAAAATCAACACTACATGCCAGGTGATCGCTTCAAATCGGCGCCATAAGGCGCCAATTGCGCCAGTGTCACAGACGAATGCTACATTTGTAATCGCGACATTTAGTAACCCGGTACATGAGTTTTCACCGATTTTGCAAAAAAAAAATGATGGTGGCGCCACTTTGACGCGAAATGGCTCCAGCGCCCAAAATGACTGCCTTATTCGTGTTCAGGCCACCGAATAACCTTCGTCGCGAAGTTGTAGCGAATATTTTTATAGTGAAATAGTGCCAAAGCGATATTTCCACAAACCTCTCCTCTTCTTCATCATCCTCTTCAGGCAACGTGATAATAGGTGCATTGTCCCTAGACCCTGAAGCTCCAGTGTCAGCAGAGTGATGGCGGTAGCCACCGTGTACGCCATCACCAAGAGCGCGTCTTCCACTACAAATAGGCAGCACAGTGCACATAAGGAGCTATTATGAGCCAGAAAAATAAGAAATTTAATGGGCGTACCTGCCACTGTATCCCATATTTGCCCTAGCTCTTGACTGGAATTCGCGATCAAAGTCCTCTGCAGCAGCTGGAAAAGGTACACTAAGACAGATTCATAAAGACTCATAAAGACAAGGTGTCTAGACAACTCTGCAATAAACCCTAGACACTCCGCACGCTGGTCTTACTACGAATTTGTTCGGAAACGTCAAATTAAAGCGCGGAGAACTCTAGCGTGTTCAAGAACAAAATTCATTGAAATCAATCTGGGAACACGCAGCAGGAACCGCAAGACGTCATAGGTATTCCAAAGCCAAAGCAAAGGCCTTCAAGAAGCCGCTCGCGAGGGACTCGGAAAAATTACCCAATCGCTTCAAGGCAAATACCGTAGGCTGTTTATACTCGCTGATGATAGCCCCCCCCCCAGAAGAAAAAGAAGCGGAAAAAACCTTGGGAACACCTTGAACACAGACGTCACCCCAGCAGCCCTGGACGAGTGCGTCGGGCGCGAAGGGCGCGCGCTCCATAGCGATTGGAGCACAAAGCTTGAGCCGTGCGACCGTGGCGCTAGTGAAAGTCACAGGTAAGCTCGAAAAACACACTAACTGCTCTTCATTTCTTATCCTCCTCTTGCCATGAGTACGGAAAACGAATTAACTGCTCTTCCAATCACGTCCTTCCCATCGCTTGCAGAGTATGAAATTCAAAAAAGGTTTGCTGCTCTTTTGTTCACAACCTCCTAATGGAATTGCGCTTGCAAACCATCTGGAACCCTAAAACAGCCTATGCGTCTTCAATTCATGTCCAACGGTGCGGGGATTGCGCTTAATCGCTATAAAAAGCGAGGATCACCGAAGATGGCAAAGTGCCAGAAGGGCCGCGCGCAACACGCGCCGCGCGTTAAAGGCGGGCGTTAAAGGGACGGAAGCAGCTCGGGACCCGACGCCTCGTCCACCTACCGTCTCCGTGAGCCTAGCGAGCCTTGTCGAAATCGCTATAACTTTCTTATCGCGCGCTATTGAGGGATGAAAGAGGTATCATCTTCATCAAGGCGTAGAGGGTTCCAAAGGCGCGAAGTCATTACTTACTCGCAGTACTCGATCGCGGGGAGTATCTTTAAGAAACATTCAACAGATATGCATCCTGCTCTCCATATGCCTATGCATCATGTGCGACTTGAAAATCACGTTGAGATAATTTGTCGCTATGATAAGGACCCCTTTCGGCTCTCCTACGACATAAGTTCACATGCATAGTTACTCCTGCGCGGCGCTCCCAAACAAGGTGAAATACTACACACGAGAGCATGAGCGACAACATGTAAATCGTGAACCTTCCCACATTCAAGTGCGCCGATTTTTGTTAGCATGGTGAGGCATTTGCCGCCACATGTCATTCTACAACTACTTCCCATTGATAACCAATTATGGATATTGAACTCTTCCAAAATACTACTAGCTTGTTTTTTACAGCTTTGTTTTCTTTCGCTGGGACACAGCAAAAGGAACACCCGCCTTCCCACGAACACTGCAGTTTCAGCGATCAACCATTACACTCACTACTTTAATAAAGCGCTAGGACCATTGTGCTTGTAACTTTTTTCATAAAACCATGAAAATACTGTCCCAATAAAAGACGTAGATAGGCCAAATCAATCGCAATTCAGCCTTATTGCCAAGTTAACGCCATAGAGCATCTTCAAAGCAGAAACTCCTGGCGTACTTCGGCGACGGAGGGGGGGGGGGCTTTTGCACCTTCGCTGTTTCACTAATTCCACTTACAACTCTCACTCTGGTGAAACTTGGGGACACTTATAAAGCTAAAGCAGCTTGTAGAGTCACCATGGTAATCTTATAAGCTCTTGTAAGCTCACGAAAAGCTGACAGAAAAAAATAAGGTTCTCTAGATGATTCGACGTATCGATGGGAAGTTAGAAAAGAACAAAATTTTGCCACCGAACAGCTCCGAGACACTTTATGCTCCTCGAGCTCAACTTTGCAATTTTAGTATCCCAGTTAGTCCCTCTTAGAGATAGACTGCACGCACCTTTGTGGATCCTGATTCTTGAAATGTGCGAGGTAAATGGGTCCACAGCTGCAGAGTAAACCATATTCTCCGCTCGACTACACAGCAAGAGGCCGAAGGGTAGTAACACTCCGGTGCCGATTGACAACACCTTGCTGCTTCGCAGCCAGCCACGCGCCTGAGGCAGCGTTCAGACTTGTAGCGTTTGAACGCGCGTTGATTGTCGCGCTTCAATTGTCGCTGTCGCTTGTAATGAACACGCTACAATTACAAGCGCGCTCCAATTGTACCAGACCCCAGCTTCCCTTTATGTTCTTTCTTCCGGTATTCAACCCTTTTTCACTGTTTCTCATTTCTACCTGATTCTTAGCTCCTCTTTTTCACTTTGACATTGAATTTTAATGTAGTTTTTGATACAGGACACTGTGATAATAATACCGTTTCAAACAAAACTCGTCGTCAAAAACGTCAAAAACTTGAAACGTCGAAAAACACATTAAATATCAATGTCGCAGTGAAAAAGAGGAGCTAAGAACTAAGTAGAAATGAGAAGCAGTGCAGGTTGAATCGGAAGAAAGAACATAAAGGGAAGCTGGGGTCTGATACAATTGGAGCGCGCTTGTAATGTAGCGTGTTCATTCACAAGCGACAGCGACAATTGAAGCACGACAGTCAACGCGTGTTCAAGCGCGACAAGTCAGCAATGGAGTTTTGTATTCACGCAACCATCGCCGCCAAGGCGAGTCCCGACGACGGGACGTTGGCGGCGGGTCAGCATGGGAACGGGAGCTACGCGAAGCGTGTCGCGTAGCGTTCATGCTGACCCCGCCGGCTGGGGAGGTTCCTCCCCATTCCGGCTTTCGCTTCGTGTTTGATAGGAAGGTACGAAACGAACAAATGCTAATTGGCATCTGTTTAAGCTGACAAGTTTAGACAGGGTCAGTGTGCCCCATCTGTGGACAGGCATGCATTATCATAAACCCTTTATGCGAACTGTTTGAACGAGTTGATTATTTCAGCTATTAGTACGGAGCAAGTAATCCGTCCAGAGAAAGGTTAACGTAAGAACTTGAAAGGAGGCGGTGATACTGGAAACAGAGAGGGAGAGAAAAAGATCGTTGTATTAGAATAGGCATATTCCGTTGCCTCAGTCGAAGGGAATATCTTGCATAAGAAGGCGTGAATCGCCCCAATATACGTAGTTACATCGCTTCATGTTATTTGTACTTGGGTTTCTACAAGTACGACAAACTATTTGTGCCAGTTCAAAAGAACCCCTTCACTCAAGTATCAAGGAACATAGACATACAAGAAGCCAGGCTACCTAATTCTATGCATTTTAGTCTTTGTTCATCTGGAGGCTACAGATCGATTCTCACTGAAGGCGACCCTTCAGGGTAAGTGAGCCTGGTTGGCTGTGACCCTGCGTGAAGTATCGGTCTATGTAGGTACAAAGTAAGAGCAATCCCGAGCGCTTCATGTCCTTTAAAGAATTAGCCTTCCTGGGTTTCGGCCTGCCTAGTGGGCAGGACGTAATCACATCCTCACGTAAGTAACACAAATGCAGCCAATCAAAAGTTGGAACAGCATTCTCAATGTGCTCCTTAGTACAAGCTATTCGCATCCCAGTAGGTGATGTAACACTCGGTAACTTAACATATACAGAAAAAGTTGCAAAACCAACGTTTTGATTATTTGAAGGAGTGCGTTAGTCATGTTTACGATACACAGAACATTCTCTAAAGGATGTCCTGACTGGAATTCTATAAATCTACGTCAGTCAGTGGATTAGTATAAGCTTGCCCAAGCCGCATATATGGAGTGGTGCGTGTGCAAGGTCCGGAGTCCTCGATCCATTTGGGTAAGCTCTAAAGGCATTCTTTTTCAGAGCATCAAGTTCAATGATTAGGACAAGGGGTCGATCAGCTCGCTCCAGTCACCACTCTATGTTGGCACCCAGGTCGACCCTTGGCAGTAAGCGCCCCATACCCCTAGACAATTCATTCAGAATCAGGTCTGGTGTGCTCATTTGGACATCATCAACAGTACGCAGAGGATTGGAGCGGACCACAACAGACGTGATGGCACGATAATACAGCTCGCGAGGCATGGAGTTCGGACAACAAGAAGTGGATCGAGGCGGCGAGGTCATACTACTTATTCCTCGTAATGTTGTTGATCATGATACATACATACATACATACATACATACCTATTCGTCACACGCTACATATTATTGTGCTTAGGTTTCCTCATAATTCATCAGCCTTGGAGTATATCATGGATTAGAACAGGTTCAAGCATCACCAAGTTTAATGTTCCACTAGGGCGCAGAACGCCGCAGTTAGTTCAGTTTTCGTAAACAACTAGCAAGTTGTATTATTTCTGCATTCCCAAGGTTAAGAATAACATTGAATGTGATTTTGCTTAGCTATTGCAGCATGTTCATAATTGTTGTGAGCTAGTCTCGTTGATCACTAGACGTTTTGTATCAGTACATTACTTAGGCAGACAATGGACATCCTGTGTGATGATAAGTTATATGCATTGAAGGCAATATATATATCATGTATCGGTCAGCTTAGACCAAGTGCGACACGACAGTAAACGATAAAGCCTTAATTCGGAGGTTTCGTCGTAGAGTATAGGAGATGAAATGCTGCCTAAGTAGAGCCAAACGCGCTACTTTTCTGCGCTCTCTCACTTTGGATTGTTCTCCATCGCTGATTATGTCTTTCGCTGAGAAACCCTGGTAGCTGTGCAAGTCGAGTACCACGACTCTACAGCCCAGTTTCCGTGCATCTTTCAGCGAAGTAAGTGTCACGCTATCACAGCTGCGAGCCCATTCACCTCGGACATGTAAAGGACTGTGCTTGGACGTGAGTGTGCATCTTCTCCTTGAACCTATCATCCCGCGCTTGCGCAGTAATTACTTTAAAATGACTACCTTCGTCGAGGTTCACAAATCGCTGCTGACGACGAACATTGCCGTCCTTGTCTCTTTTCTTCTCAATGATATGCGTTCGATCGCCTATTGTATGGCCGATGGACATCTCCTCTCGTGCTCCGTCACGAAGTGCTCTAATGTACGAGAAATACGCCAATATAAAGAAGAGGGAGTCAGGAGGAAGTCATACCTCCTGGTTTCTTTCACATCGCCACTCTTCCGTACAGAATTTTCGACAACGCGAGGCTGTCCATCGCCGCCAAACGTCACCATAGTCGACTGCGAGTAAACATGAGAATTTGGATCGTTCATAGCACGTTCTTGTAGATCCTCCTGCAACAGCAAAATAAAAATTAAAGTTGACTGGTTGAATTAACGAAATAGGCAAAAAGACAACCATTACGGAAAATAGGCCGCCAAATCCACGAAAAGGGTCAAACGGGCGAGCGACTTGGCGATGATGAGGCGGTGGCGGGGGACCCTTAAAAGGTATGTATTACAACAAGCAGTACCAGAAATCTGAGCATTCCTCATTAGAACTCTCATTATGCTATGCTGCATGAAAACTCTCCGCGGTTCTTTCGCTCATTTTTGAACAGACACTTTTCAATTGAAAATCAGTTTTGATTGAAGACATATTGACCTTTTTTATTTTTAACCTTTTGTCATCTACCTGGTGATTTCGCTATTGCATTAGTGTAGCACTACTGTGGTTCATCGACCAAAAACTTGGCCACATAATTTCCAACGGTGCTTTGGCCGGCCATTTTCTCACCATCAAGGGAGTTTTGCAGAGATCGAAACAGATAAGAATCAGACGTTGCAAGGCCCGTGCTGTGGTGGATGAATCTTAATTTCCAGTTAAGTTCCGAGTCATGAAAATGCATGTGTGGCTCGGCAGTGTTTGATGAAAGACAACTCTCTTTCTGCCAGCTAAGTCTGGTCTCTTTTGTTTGACTGCTTGATTCAGACGTCGAGTTGTGCACAGCACATGACCGGATTGATAATTTTACCACGTTGCAACACCTCATAATAGGCACTGCCCTTACAGTCCCACCGAACAGTGGCCGGCCAGAGCGAGGTGCATCTTTAACACCCAAATGTCCGGAAGCGGAAACTAGCAAATCACTCCTAGGTCCTTGATTCACTAAACGGCATTTTCGCCCCACACTTCACAGATTTTTCGGTATGTTTTTGCAGCATTGTAGCCGTTTTTTGTATTAGGGTGTCCACAAAGTTCGTTGGCCATTCGTTTTTTCAGAGCTTGTAAAGATAACTCACCAAGTTGAACTTACCGGTCCATGATATAATCTCCATGCATACCTTCATCACCTGACCGTTTCGCCAACGATCTGGCGTAAGTAGGATGCAACTGCAGTCACTTCCACACCCGGCCGGCCCGCGTACTCGGCCCAGTCTTCGATCAACGTCCTCGAGGTCGCCGCATCGTTCTTCTAGCATGTTTTGTCCGTCGCTAATTTTGAAAGGTTCAGTGACCAGTATAGATGAGGGTAATCGCTAATGGACTGATCGCTGCCGTTCGGAACTATAGGTGGATCGCGTTACTCCGTCTGAATGCCCTAGTCTTAGTCCAGGACGGCCTGAGTATCTCTCGCTTTGTGAAGGCGGCGCGTTGCCCCCAGAGTCAACTTACTTAAGGATTTGGCAAGTTTCTGGGACGACTAGGCGTCACGCTTCTACACCATTTTGACACTCTCTGTCAATTCATTTAGAGATCCCTGCCGCTCACTGTGGCATATGGGGTAAAGAAATTCTGTAGTTGGACGACGCCGTGACGAAGAGAGAATCCGACCAGAAAACGCTCGCCATAAAATCTTCGAAATGCCATTATTAGTTCCATTGGTTGAATGCGAACGTCCACCACGGGTTGATCATCCAGTCACTAGAAGGGGTTGTTTATCACCAATATTCTGTCTGAACCATACTGGGTCGTGCCCTGACGTTTCTGTGAGAATGGGCCGCAGGTTGTAAGCTAGTCCCCCAGCAATATTCATTTCGCGGTGGTGGTGACTATCACTCATCTTCACTGCTTTATTGTGGGAAGAAAGGAAATTTAGAGCTAGCTAGCTCAGAAGATAGCCCATCGCGAGTACTTTCAGTATTGCGAAATCATTATGCAAAATCACAACGCGTTGCGTAACGCGACGCTGTTTACAAATGGCCAACGAACTTTGTGGACACCCTAATAGTAGAAACAAGCACAACATCGTATTTTGGCACTATTCAAGTATTACTAACCCAATTTCCGAAAACAGGCGGATTTTGATCGATTTTTCTACGAGGCAGATTTGGCTGAAAGTTGGGTTCCAGGGGTAATTCGACCTTCTCAATACGAATATCACCTCTCGAAACTGCCTGGCACCCGCGCCCGCAGACACCGGCGCCAAAGTACCTAGACCATCAAATCTGAAATTTTGTGCCCAGGGGTAGTTCGACCTCCTGAACACGAATATCACATCCGCTCAGCCTGAAACCGCCTGGCGCCCGTGCCAGGCGCCGGCGCCAAAATACCCTAGGTCACCAAATCCGCTGAAAACTTGTATACGGAGGTTATTTGACATCATTGCAAATATCACATTCATTTTTGGCGCTGGCGCTGATGGAAGACACTACGATCATCTGCGCTCTGCTAAGGCTGAGCCTGGCCTGAAGGAAATCACTCCTTCTCCCAGGCTCAGCCTTAGAAGAGCGCTAAATGGCGCTGGTGTCGAAAAATAAATGTCATATTCGTGATCAGGGCATCAAACAACCTTATGCACGTTTTTATCGATGTTGATGAAAAAGATGTAGCGCCAAATCAGGGCCTAATGGCGCCAGGGCAGCGGTAATCGTGATCGCGACATCAAGTAATACTATGCAAAACTACATTGAGTGAGAAAGGTGGCGGCGCCATACTGGCGCCAGCGCCGAATAACGAGTGCTATATCTACGGCCAGGACACCGAATTACCCCTGTGGGCAAAGATTAAGCTTAAAAAAATTGATTTTAATGTTAGTTGAATAGTGCGCATATTTATTTCGAGTATAACTACTTTTTAGACGAGCAACGAAACAGAGAACTATCTTCGCAAAAAAAAGGTGAGCTGGAACGTTAGGCTCCGTTTATACTTTGCTGCAGGCGTACGCGTCCCCCCCCCCCCATAGCCGTAGTAGCGTAGCGCACCCCCCCCCCTGCGCTAGCGTAGCGCTTCCAGCGCTGCGCCAGCGGCAGTGACCGAAGAGGAGACTGAGATGCACTATCATCATAGCTTCAACACAGCCGACAGCGGCACGCTAGCGTACGCCGGAGACGGCACGCTTAGCTACGCCAGCCGTTTCTCAGCGTTTCACCAGCGTTTTGCTAGCGTTTGCAGCGGCAGGGGAGTAGAGACTATGGGAGAGCTGGAGGGTACAAAGCACATCGATTGCGCGTATCTCACTCGCCCTTAGTCTCTACAATGCACATCGCTTCTGCGTCTTCGACGGCCCCATAGTCTCTACAATGCACATCGCTTCTGCGTCTTCGCGGCCCCATAGTCTCTACAATGCACATCGCTTCTGCGTCTTCGACGGCCCCATAGTCTCTACAATACGCGTCGATTCCGCGTCTCTGCCTGCCACATAGTCTCTACTCCCCTGCCGCTGCAAACGCTAGCAAAACGCTGGTGAAACGCTGGAGAAACGCTGGCGTACGCTAGCGTGCCGCTAGCGTACGCTAGCGTGCCGCTGGTGACGCTGGTGAAGCTAGATCGATATGCATCCTCTCTTCGGCACTGCCGCTGGCGTACGCTGGAAGCGCTACGCTACGCTGCGCTACGCTACGCTACGCTGCCGCAAAGTATAAACGCAGCCTTACTGGCGCGAGCACAAAATTTTTGTTCGAGACAAGCGGGCATACCCGCTTTACTTGAGATAAGCGAAAACCGCGGAAACTATATTTCTTGCGCGCCAAATGCTGCTACACCAAGAAAAAAAAACTGAATCAAACAGTATACAAAATGCAAATTCTCCCCCACATACATTTAGCGTTTAAATTTTCAATGAATAAAAAGTTCCCGACGGAAGTCCCATAAGAAAAAAAAACTAGATCTGAGAGCTCACTTCAAGCATTCCCATTCCTCCTAGCATTCCAAATGGATCCATCATAGAATTCATCATACGATCCATCTCTTGAAATTGTCGGTGCATCGCTCTGAACAGAAACGTACACTCACTAACCACTACCACTACTTTCTCGCATTCTCAACAGTTTAGGAAAGTAGAACAGCTTGCAACTATTTGCAAGGGAAGTGCTGAGGATGGTTTTATCCAACACTTTGTGTAATTCCTTTGTGTGAAGAATGACTGTCCTACCGTTATTTCAAATGCATGTGTTTAGTCAAGTAAGCTCATAGGTATGCTTTGAATGGCATTGCTCGTTTCTCGCTTATATTTGGCCTACCCTCTTTTTGTGTAGTTTTTAGAGTCCGAACTACATCTGTCTCACCATACGCTATAAAAGATTGCAACTTTCATACAACAGTTTGTCTTTACGGCTGTTATCACCACAAACTGCTGACTGACTGCTACATCAGCATCGCAAATGCCTACGTCATATGTACGAGCCAATAAAGCGTTTTGGTCTCCTGCCTCTCCCTCGGAAAGGGGCATTAATCCCCTGGTAACGGAAGTGAACAGCGAGCTCCACTGCGCCTGTCTCACTATAAGTCATCAAAAACAAACCGACTAAAATAGAAAGAAAACCCAGGGCTGCGACTAAATTCAGCTTTGTTGCGAACAGCTTATAATTATAGCTCACTTCTCTCCCCCGATTTTCTTATTTGGGTCCAAAATTTATGCAACGGTTTGCTTCATCGCACTCCAATGATAACATTTCTACGCATACCTTTCTCTTGGAAAAATCATGTACGCAATGCATGGAGCAGTGGATGCGGTTTATGAGACGGATAACTACGGTAGTATACCAACCCCAACTTATCCTTTGGTTCATGTTTCCCAGTCGCTGGCGCTGCCGTAAACTGCACACGCCAACGCAACGTATGAAGGCAGCCGTGCACATGCTCTCCTACCATCAACAACTGAGGAGAATTTTTTGCAGGACGACAAAAGTAGTGCTTTTCATATAGATATAGATGGATGGGAGTTAACAAAAGTTTCGATTTCAAACTTTTCACTATTAACTGCAGGGGGGGGGCAAAAAAAGTCACTTTTCTTCCTTGACTTTCGAGGCGCTATAAGTTACACTTTATTAAATTCTGATCGGACATTTCTACCACCATATTAAAGAGCATATTAAATACTATCATGATACTCCGCCACAGCCTTCTGAGCGCCATCGAGAGATTCTGCCACGCGACCGTGATTCGGTACCTGAGTTCAGCGAGATCGTTGATTTCTCCGCCACTGTAGACCACCCTGTTGAGCTCCGCCCGAACCGGGTAATTGAGGGGGTTTAGGTCAGGTGACACACTTAGATATTCCATCTTCTTCAGGTAACGCCCTTCCATTCCAAGTAGGCGAGAGTTTTTCCAACGCCCTTCGATTCCATGTGGTGGCACCCAAACCTGTAGCAGTACAAAGTTTCCAAGAAGGTACGGGCGACGACATGTAGGGAGGATATTCTTCTCGAGTTGCTCGATGTAACCGCCAGCGCTCACCTTCAGTCCGGGTCCACGAAGAAAATATCGGTCTTTCCATTCCAGGTACGTCCGGTCCATACCATCAACCCGCGCCTTGGCGACTGCGGTGAAGATGATGTCCTAGACCGTAGCGACGTTGTCGGAGCTGCTCGATGTTGGAGGTCTTCCAGATTGAGAGTACTGGTCTCCAGGTAGCTATCCATGGGTGACTCCATACTAGAAGTTTCGCAGCTGTTTGGAGGTGACATGAATTCCAAAGGTCTTCTCCAGTCAGGCTGCGACTGGAGATGACTTCATATTTTGGTGTACATGAAGGTGATGGGCGAGAGCCAGCTCCTGCTTATCGAGGAACATCTTGGGTATCTTCCGCCCTGGTACTCGTATCCACGTCCTCTGTCTGGGCAGCGAAAACTTTGCTGATATGTGACTCGGTCGAAGTGACTTTTTTGCCCCCCCCCCCTGTATATCTTTCAAACCAACCATGATCGAGCACCCGGGCAAACACAAAACAATAAATTAGAACAAAAAGAGCTGCAACTGACCATTGCGACCTCATAAAAGTGCTTACGGTAAGTTCACTGACCTGTGCATTCCGCCGAAGCCGAACAAATCATCGTCATTGAACATGGCGGGCCTGGAATGGTGAACTTCTTCGAAGAAAACGTTAGAAAATGTTTGCAGTGAAACACAGCAGATAGTTCTTATTAAACTGCGGAACAAGCAGGATCAAACCCGGATACCAAAAACCAAAGCAAAAAAAAATTAGATCAGGAACAAGATGGCGTTTCAGTTGATTGAAGTGTGAAGTGAGCAGAAGCATTCGTTTTATCAGCAACTTCGGCGCTTGCTTTGAATTTGCTGGCCTCCATAGATGTGGAGATCCAGGATCTTTTGTGATTCCAGGAAATGATACTAAGCTCCTAAGGGTCATATTATGAAAATAGTGGCACTATTAGTATTCTTACCCAGTCTACCGAAAGCAGGCCGGTTTTCTACCCACTTTTTTCTCCAAGGGCAGATTTGGCTGAAAATTTGCTCACAGGGGTACTTCGACCTCCTAAACACGAATCATCAATTATCACATCCGCTTCGCCCGAAACTGCCCGGCTTCCACGCCAAATACCATAAACTACCAAATTAGCTGAAAACTTGTCCCTGGTGGTAGTTTGACCCCTGAACATAAATATCACATCCGCTTGGGCCAAACCGCCTGGCGCCTACGCCACAGGCGCCAAAACACCCTAAATCACCAAAATTAGAGCTTGTATACGGGGTTTATTTGACATCCTGATCACGAGTATGACATTTTTCTTGACGCCGGCGCTAACGTAGGCTCCCTAAAGTCATTTGCGCTTTGCTAAGACTGAGCCTGGCCTGAAGAGAACCACTCCTTTTCCCAGTTTCAGCCTCAGCAGAACGCTAAATAGCGCTGGTATGGAGAAATAAATGCCATACTCGTGATCAGGGCATCGAACAACCCTATTACACAAGTTTTTATCGATTTTGGGAAAAAAAGCATGGCGCCAATTTGGCGCCTAGTGACGCGACATGGCGCCTTGAAGAGGCATTCATCGGAGTCTTTGAAATTAGTAAAACATATGCTTCACAACAACGCGGGAGCTAAGAGCTTAAGCAGCGTTCAGACTTCGCGACGGCAGCGCCTCGGTCGCGCGTCCGGCCGCGATCGATACATATGCTTTCGAATGCATCGAGCGCACGATCGAACGCTGCCATCGGTCTGAACGCTGCCTTATGTAAGGGTGACCTTCCAATAGTGATGCTGAATGAGGAACAGTTCGGCGCGATCCTACTGCCGGTTAGGTGGAATCCAAGATCAGACTATTTGCGGTAAGTGGCCTTCCTACAATTAGCTGGTGATCGTCAACAATCCCGAACTTCAGTGGGGTAGTAGATAGGTTCGATGAATTGTTTCGATCCTTTCAGGCTCTGAAGGATGCGATGCCGCCGAAACTCAAGCCAGTGAAATTGTGCTACCCTCCAGTTCGGTGAGAGTTGGGCGTGTCAGGCAGTTAAATGTGTCACGCCGTCAAAGCCGTTCTCTGCCTTCTTGTTGAAGCGCGCATGCGACAAAGTGGTAGAAAACGAGTAATACGAACGATATGATACAGTCATATCATTTGCTCGCTTCAACAACTGTGGTGAAGCGGGTTTGGCACCGCGCCAAACTCATCCCGCCTGACACGCCCAACAGTCCGCAGCGAAGTACATTATATCAACGGTGCTAACGTAGTTGGGAGGGGCCACGCGGCTCGCGGCGAGTGATGACTCATCGGCATACTTGAAACGCGAATCTAGCAGCCAAATCAGAATAAAACAAACAAGATTCACCGGGAACTTGCTGAAGAATTCCACAGAAGCTAAAAATTTGATTTTTTGTAGTCAGTTTAGGCAAGAACCTTGCAACCTAAAACTGTCTCTTTGCACTTTTCAGCGTTAACTGTTTTAACGAAATTACTTCTATTCTGCCGAGGAGGGAGCAGAAGAGCAGATGAGTCATCGCTCGCCGCGAGCCGCGTAGCCCCTCCCAACTACGTTAGGCATTGTTCACAGTCTGCGACCCTGACGAAACGGCGGTTGGGAGAAAAGCAAAAAATAGTCATCGATCGGAGAATCGCCAACCGCTAGTTTCGCCGAACCGCCGCGGTTCGGCGGTTGGGCGAAAAGCAATAGATGTGTATCGATTTCGCTGGAAAAACGCCACGGCGATCGAGCTAGCGTTTCGTCGAAGGCGAAAAACGTCGCGGTTTGGCGAAACGCCCGTCGATTCGTATCAAAACCCTTTCGCCCAACCGCCAGTCGATACGTATCGAAAAGCTTTTCGCCGAACCGCCGCGTTCCAGAGAAACGCTGGAACCGCAGACTGTGAACAATGCCTTAGCGCCATATCAACAGCGTGTAGAGTTGAAGCAGAGCTTCACACTCAACACAATTCCAACGTTTATGGAGAGCCGTACATGGTGAAAAAAGGAAGCCTTTCCAAAAAAAGAGTGGATACCTGAATTTATGCGACCAGTAATCTCTGTGATTAGCGCTTGGGTCAAATGAAAACAAGATGTAAGCCGACCAGGTGATATTATCCTTTCGAAAAACAGCGCTAAACTAGTCACCAGCGTTCAGGAGGCTTAGCAGCTAAAGGAGCGTGAGCCGCGGCTGATGCTGGTACCGTTTGGATTAGCAGCTCCCAATCGATACATGCATTTGCAAGTTGCTGGCTTTCTTACCAGGAAAGGTCAACAGGTCGCCATGGCCATTCAGGATGAGATGCATATTGCCGTGTGCGTCTTGGGGCACTGGACTCAAATCTGGTTTCAGAATTTGCTGAACGATCCTCTAGAGGAAGAGTTAGGGGGGGGGGTCGTTCTAGCATAGCACCTCGCCGATACCTCCCTTTGCACTCAGTAATTCGAATACATACAGTCCCAACTGGTCGATGGTTTAGTGGATAGGTGGGTTGTTTCATATATGAGAGGTCATGGGTTCGGTTCCTTGACAAGCTCGCGTTTTTGCATTCTTTCGGAACATCTTCTGCGAGTCCAGAGAATACTTCTTTTCCGTTATTTTGTCATGCTTGCTCTTGCTTGCAGCAGAAAAAGATTTAAGTGCCGGCAATTGTGCTTCCCTTTCAAGACTTTTGGGCAGTATTTACCCTTTACTGCCCAAATCACCCGAAATCAGGCCAGTTTTTGACCGACTTTTTTCTCCGTGAGCAGAATTGGCTGAAAAGTTGCCTACTAGGGTAGTCTGCACTAGTTGACATGATTCAGCACACGCTCCCGCGCCCACACAGAAACATCGTGCACAGGAGTCAGTGCAAATCACATCCCCCCCGTAAATCACAAAGTTCGCTGGAAACTTGTCATCTGGGGTAGTTTGACCTCCTGGACACAGAAATCCCATTAGCTGAGCCGGAAATGCCTGGCGCCGGCGCCAATACTCGAACCACCATAATCACTAAACATTCAACTGGAGCAGTTTGACCTTCTAAACACGAGCATCACATCCGCGTGGGGCGTTGAGAATGTTTGGGATAAAGAAAAAGCGGTAATGTAATTGCGCAACCTGCGTCCGCACCCCTCCTCATGAGGCCCTTCCTCTGCTATGGCTGAGCCTTAGCAAGAGAAGGATCTCTGTGACAGGCAACTAGGAAGAGTAGTGCGTTACTTCGACCAGTTTGCCCAATTGCCCTAGCACAGAGCCCCGCAATAAAGCGACCGGAGTCTGTGCTACACCCCCGGACTAGGAACAAGCATGTGATGGGTCGCTTGTGGCGTACGCGTCAGGCGTTTCAGAAAGTTTGGATGAGATATTTGTGTACAGGAGGTCAAACTACCCCAGTTGACAAGTTTCCAGCGAACTTTTGTGATTTGTAGGGTATTTTGGCGCTGGCGCCTGTGGCACGGATGTTTCGTGCTGAGCGGATGTGGTAATTATGATCAGAAGGGCAGACGACCATAGGGGAACTTTTAGCCAATTCTGCCAGTAAACGGTAAACACTGCCCAAAAGTCTTGAAAGGGAAGCACAATTGCCGGCACTTAAGTCTTTTTCTACTGCAAGCAAGAGCAAGCATGACAAAATAACGGAAAGAAGTATTCTCTGAACTCGCAGAAGATGTTCCGAAAGAATGCAAAAACGCGAGCTTGTCAAGGAACCGAACCCATGACCTCTCATATATGAAGCAACCCACCTATCCACTAACCATCTGATCCAGTCTGAGACTGTACGTATTCCGAACTTAACTTGAGCTTTTACGGCGCAAAGAGGATCGCGAGTGCTATGCTAAAACGACGCCAACCCCCCCTAACTTCTCCTAGAGATCGTTCACAATTCTGAAACCAGATTTGAGTCCAGTGCCCCAAGACGCACACGGCAATATGCATCTCATCCTGAATGGCCATGGCGACCTGTTGACCTTTCCTGGCTTAGGAAGCCTCTAATACGAAAAGCGGCTAAAGCAGCCGAGAAAAGGAGCGCGCATGGGAGATTTTAGCCGCCGCGTTCACGAACGACTTCTACCCGTAATAATTTAATCAAATCTAGAAGAAATTCCTACAAACCCGAACACCGGGAGAAACGGCTGAAGGAGTAAGTCAACCGACTCGGAGTGCTTCATTGTCGGGTAATCTGGTGCAAACCGCATGCGGTGTTAGAATGGACAAGTTTTCGTTAGAGGAATACATGATAAAGGAGAAAAACCAACCACATTCCGAGGAAACATCTCTATCGACGACCCTACAAAGTGTAAAATTAGGAAGAGAGACAGCAAAGCAAAAACCTCGTTCGTCTTACTGGTAACGAAGAGAAGGACGCAAGTAGACCACACCCAGTATCAAAAGGTCGGGAAAAGAACGTCCCGAGCGAAATCAGCTGACGTCGGCGAGATTTTCAAGAACATTCGTACTGACGTCGATACTTCGTGTCGGGACCGACAAGCAGTGCGCTGCCGATGCAACTCGTCCTGTTTCAGCTTGTGATGATTTCTCACTAGGCGCCTCTATCACCGTTACGGGTTTGGTTTGCCGTTTTTTTACCCTTGTTTTTTGAATACCAGCCGGCTTTGCCGGCTGATGCCTGCACGCCTTCTTCTGAGATAAAGAATGGATTTACT